ATGAGTGTGAATTGATATCCCATAGTTTACTTTCCTTTGCAATTCACAGGGCCACCAGTAGCTTTTAGTGTAGAGTTTGGTAACTGCACAACTCTGTGGGCACTGTTCATGTTGTAGTGTTTGTGAAAGGCACACCGTGGGGTGGGTGCAATGTGCAGCACATACAGTGGCCTTGAGTGAAGTTAAAGATTTTGTGTTATCTTTTGCCCATTATTCTCTTGGGTTGTCTTATTAATTGGAAGAGTTCTTTATTCTGGATATTAATTCTTTTTTGGTTGATATGTTACATTTTCTGTGGTTTCCATTCATTTTGTTTATAGTACCTTTTTTTTTTTCTTGTTTGAAGCATTACATATGAAGTAGTACATATGTCCCCTTCTTTCTCCCCTTGACCTCCCCCCAGCCTTCCCTACCCCTATAGTACCTTTTTTATGTTCAAAATTTTAAGATTTTTATGTACTTAAGTATATCAGTCTTTTCCTTGATCTTCTGTATTTTTGTATCTTGTCTAAGAAATCCCTCCTACTCCAAAGTCACAGATATTCTAATTTTTTAAAATATAATTTTGAGAGTAGGTTTATTAAAGCTGGGGACAGTGAAACAAGGAAGAGCATAGGATAGAAGCAACAGGAGAGAGCCAAGGCGGGCTCTCTAGAAACATTATGGGAAAGAAATGAGCCAAGGCAGGGCTGTCAGTTCGCTAGAAGCAGAGTAAAGGGAGCCATGGAGACAAGTTCGCCGGGTTAGCCCCAGGCCAGCTGCCCCTGCCATTGCTCCCTGGTTGCAAGTCTCATGAGAGCCTTAGAGTTTAGGAGAAAGAAAAGGAGATTTGAATAGGCTTGCCCCAGGAGGGCATGCCTTTCTAGATATTTTAAGTTTTGCTCTCCTACATCTTTAATTCAACTTGCATTTATTTTAGGCATATATGTTTTTTTCATACATATAACTGAATATAGAATCAAATCATGGATTAACGAGTTCATCATTTCCCTTTGATTTTCACGCCACCAGTATTATACTTTAAACATGTGTCTGTTTCTGTCTTGTTCCCTGTTTATCTCTTATGCCATATGGCACAGTCTTAATTACTGCAAATACATGTCTCCCCTGCTCATCTTAACACATTTTGGTTATTCTTAGCCTTTTGCTCTTCTACATGGATTTTAGCATCAATTGTCAGATTCTTGCATTAAACTCAGATTAATCTGGGGGCAATATGGATCTTTATAATACTGATTATTCTCATCCTTGAATATAGCATATTAGTATATCTCTCCTTTCATTTAGGTCTTTTTATGCCCAACAATGTTTTATTTTCTCCATGAAGGTCTTGCATATCTTATATTAAATATATTCCTACATGCTTATAGATTTTTCTATTAAGAATGAGATCTATGGCCCTGGACTGGTAGCTCAGTTGGTTGGAGCATCATCCTGATATACCAGAGCTTCAGGTTCAATGCTGTCAGGGCACATTCAAGAATTAACCAATGAATGTGTAAGTGGAACAAATTGATGTTTCTCTCTCTCTAAAATCCATTTAAAAAACAAAATAATGAGATCGTTGTTTTTCCCAATTGGTTACATCTGGTAGGTAGAAACATCATCAGTGTTTAACTGGTCTGGTATCCAGCAACCATGCTGAATTTTGTCTTATTTTTTATAGATTCTCTTGGATTTTTCTATGTAGACTATCACTATCTGCATATAAGTACATTCAATCTCCCTTTCTGATTTTATGCTTCTTTTATTATATTGATTTTGTTAGAATTGTGTTCAGTAAAAGCAATGATTAACTTTTAACAGGTTTATGAGATATAATTCACATACCATAAACTTCACCCTTCAGAGACTTGCTTCTTTAGTTTGTTAGCTTTGTTTTTCAATATCTTTATTATTTTTTAATGTTTTTATTCATTTTTAGAAAAAGAGAGGAAGTGAGAGGGAGAGCTAGAAACATCGATGAGAGAGAAATATCAATTGGCCACATCCTATACACATCTCACTGGGGATCAAGCCCAAAACCTGGGCATGTGCTCCAACCAGTAACCTTTTGGTTCCTGGGTTGATGCTCAACCACTGAGCAAACAGGCTGGGCTTTAGTTCGTTTTTAATAGGGGAAGGCCTTTAAAGTTTTATAAATAACCATTGTAACAGTACCATTTGTATTTGTTGACTGGTTCATCATTTCCCTAAATTGTTATGCCACTTCTTACATGTGTTTTTTTAAGTGGGTGTTGTTTTGTTTTGTTGTGTGTGTGTGTGTTTCATTTAGAGAGAAAAGGAGAAAAAGAGGAAGGGAGAGGAGGGAGAGTTGATTGTTCAATAAATGCTAACTATAAATCACTTTTGAAAGAAAAACACAGGAAGCTTCAGTAACATTTGCATTTTTATTTTCTTCCCTCTGTTTCTTCTCAGTTGAATTCGTGGCTTTGTGGTTGTGAAACAAACAGATCAAAAGGCCTTTGGAAGGCTGTCTCCTTCCCCATGTGTGTTTAATCCTTTTCTGTTCACATGTTTAAGAAGAGGGCACCATTCCTGCCCACTAGTGCCTCCTTTAAAGCAGGGGACTGTTTAGTTATTCAAGCAAGGCCAGAATCCTCCCAGGGACTTATGACATTGTTCTCAGAAGAAATGCTCTTCCTTCTACTGGAGTTGCCAAGCCTATGGGGCCATCTTGCCATAACATGGAAGGAACCTGCTGGGAATGAAGTCAGTGTAGAGGGAAACAAAACCGAGATAGAAAGTTTTGACGTCATCATTTGATCTCTGGTTCACGCTATGCCTAAAGCCAGTGAACAATCCTTGATAATTAAAATGATAGATTGCCTTTTTAGAGCTTAAGCCAGTTTGTTGGGCATTATGTCACTGCCAACAAGATTCCTTGTAACAGAATTTGTTCCTTCCCCTTTACCTGGCTTACTCCTAGGTCAGTTTTTGTTTTTCTGTTTCAGAGGTGGGCCTGTTTCTAATTTGAAACTACCAGCAAAGAGGACCACATATTTTATTGAATCAGGTGTGGGAAAAACCAACAAGGTACTTATGACAAGAATGTTTCTTCTAAACAAAATAAAGCTCCATCAAGTTTTAAAAAAATAATAAACATGTTTCTACTGATCCCAAGTGGGAAGCTGACATCAGTAGAGAGCTTTGATGGGTTGCTTATATAATCTGGTAAAGAAGCTAAAGATCTTTGTTTCTTTCCTAGTAGAAATATGAGAGCCATTTTTTTAAAATATATTTTTTAATTGATTTTTTACAGAGAGGAAGGGAGAGAGATAGTTAGAAACATCAATGAGAAAGAAACATCGACCAGCTGCCTCCTGCACACCCCCCTACTGGGGATGTGCCTATAACCAAGGTACATGCCCTTGACCGGAATCGAACCCGGGACCTTTCAGTCCATTGGCTGATGCTCTATCCACTGAGCCAAACCGGTTTCGGCCTGACAGCCATTTTAACTACATGTTCTTAGATCACTGTGTGATACCTGTTTACTTTAATGCTCTATGTACAACTCAAGCCTCCAACACAATCTGTCTGGGGAAGATTTAGGAGGCAAGCAAGCATTTCCTATTAATAAATCATGAAATTCATGTACCATGAAAAATCGAAATCTTTATTTTTTAGAAAGAAGGGATTAAGGAGCAGCACCTTAATAAGTGCAGGTACACATAAAGGCTATATGACTATAGTTAGCATTCCAACACTGTATGTAACAGTAAAAGATTGCAAATAACCCAAATACCATTCATAGAGAACTGCTTAATAATCATATACCCATATATTGCAATACTATTTGCTGTAAAAATGAATGAAAGGCTATGGATTGATATGGAAAGATCACCAGGATATTTTGTTAAATGAAAAAAAGCAATATACGTAGGTATATAATGTGTTTTCTTTTCTATAAGAAAAAGAAAATAAGGTTATATATTCATATTTAATTGTACTTCCAAAAATAAATACTAAAAAGTAAAAGTAGTTTCCTATAGGCAGTAGACAGTGGTGAGAACTCTCAATGTATACCTTTTATAGAGGCTTGATATCTGAACCACCTGAACACATTAACCACTTAAGAGAGTCCTGCCCTAGCTGGTCTGGCTCAGTGGATAGAGCGTTGAAATGGAGACTGGAATCATGGGTTCTACTCCGGTCAAGGGCACATGCTTGGGTTGCAGGCTCGATCCACAGGAGGGGGCATACAAGAGGCAGCTGATCAATGATCTCTCTCTCATTGGTGTTTCTGTTCCTCTCTCCCTCTCCTTCCTCTCGAAATCAGTTATGTGTGTGTGTGTGTGTGTGTGTGTGTGTGTGTGTGTGTGTGTGTATATATATATTTTTTTAAGTCCCTTCTTATGACACAGGCCACTGCTTCCTGTTCCAAGCTGTACTGCCATGGCCCCACAAACCCCCCTCCTGGCCTGGCAGACATAAGAGCCACTTGCCTGACTCATCTAAAAGATGGTGAATAAAGACATGGTCACACTGCAATGCCTTTGTAACAGGAAGTTTTATTGTTAATTATTTACCTTAATAGTTTCAGAAAGAGGAACAGATTAGCTCAGTCCAACATGATTGGCAGTTGGCAAAATCTAGAAAGCAAGTGTTCTGATTGCTAAGGATTTAATTTGAATGCTTTTAACACTTAGCCATCTAACACTTCAAATATAGTCCAGAATAAAACGCATTGTCTCCCTCCCTTTCGCTTTAATTCCCCATCTACTTCACTTCAATATGGAAATATCTTCATTAAATATGATTCCTAGAGGAACAAGTTTTCTGGAGAATATAGCCATGAGGACAGTGCACAAAAAGAAAAACTCAAAATAAAACTCTGTATGATAACTTACTAGTCTAAGGAAACAAAAACCTTCCAATATATTAAGAAATCAATCCAGTTAAAAATGCACTAATAGGTCTATGTGAAGAGGTTGTGGTATAGTAACTGAAAATGGCCGGCTATTTACAAGATACACAAGCAGGTACAGCACGGGCCCTCAGAAGCCAAACGTGTTCTCTCCACTGTAGGCCACATACAAGAATCCATCTTCATCTTTTTCCTTATCGTAAAGTTGTCCCATAGTTAGGCTTGAAAGAGAGAAACAAAAAACAATATTGAAAATGTATAGTTAGGCTCTCCCCACTTTTCAGCATCCATTAATTACTGAACTTTGTAAACTGGCATTGAAACATTACATACAGTTTTGCTGTACCAACTTTATATAAACTTTTACAGTACAATCTATGTTATTTTTCAGAAACAAACCAAAGGTTAATTTCTCAAGGTTCTTGCTGCTGCTTTAGCAGTATGTAATGGAGAATCTTTCATATACATTTGTAATATTAGAAAAATAAACCAAATTGCAAATCCTTTTTTAAAAATATATATTTTTTACTTCAGAGAGGAAGAGGGAGAGATAGAAACATCAATGATGAGAGAGACTCATTGATCGGCTGCCTCCTGCATGCCTCCTACTGGGGAATCGAGCCCACAACTTGGGCATGTGCCCTCGACAGGAATCAAAATGGGACCCTTCAGTTCACAGGCCAACGCCCTATCCACTGAGCCAAACCAGCAAGGTCATAAATACTTTTTTTTTTTTAAATGCTTAAACCATGTACCAAATTTGTGGTCCAAATCATATAAAATAAGTTAAACTCCATTCTCTTAACCAGTATAACTGCATTTCTATAAACATAGTTATCTTGAAATAAAGTTTTTAAAAAGAAACATTAAAAACTGGCTTTGATTACTAGGGCTAGGTGTTGGGAGAAAGATGACTTATGGATAAGGAACTTAATACTTAAACTAGCTACTCTCTGCCACAACTTTGGTGGTAGGTAGTACAAAGAAATTCAGGTCTCATTAATGCTACATGCCTGTTGTAAAGAAGGTAAATGGAGCCACAAAAGATTAAGGTAAATTAGGCCTCTGGGAATCACAAGACTAGAATCAATTCTCCATTCTCCTGCTCCAAGGCAAAGCTATTTGCACTCACCTTCACACAAAGTAAATCCTTCTGAAGCCAGCTCTATCTAGCTCCTTAAGTGGGGCTGGCTGGTTAGTGCTGGTTAATACATGTACACTTAGAATGCATTCTGAACGCCAGGGCAAGGGGTGGGAGGGAAAAACGAGCAAAATTAAGAGCCTATGAAACCTATCCCTGTATGGATGGAGGACCAAGGAACAGAAGAGTACATGGAGCTTACTTCTGCTTCAGCCTGGTTTAGTGAAGATTTCTAATTTATAATTACAAGTGGGTTCATTCTTGTGGAAGCTCCCCCATCAAGAACCCTGTGCTCCAGAGATCTGTGTCAGCATCATCAAAGACAAATTATTTTCCTCACATGCAATGCAAACATCTCTCAGATTGAATCTGGGATTCAAAGAAGCCTTGCGTGGCCTTCCTAAGGACCCTTACAAAATATAATAGATACTGCTCAAACTAAATATGTGGGTAGGAAAGATGGCTTTCCCTAAGCTATAAATTGGACTGCACTACCACCTCCAGAGTAAGACTTGTAACACCTGGAACCCTGGGTGAGCTCTGGCCACGTGACTCTACTATTAGGAGAAATATGCTAAGCATCAATGTAACCATGAGTGGTGAAGTCAACCAGAACCAGCTGGAGACATCAGAGGTCACCAGCCTGGACAGGTCACAATAGATGCTAAATGCAGGATTCAGTAAAATAAGGGCCACTGGGGTGGATAATGAGAGGACCAGGGCCTAAAGTTGGGAAAACAATGACTGCCCACTCTGCTGCTATGCTCCTGGTGGGCTGTGTGGAACTTGCATATAAACAGGGACATTGGGGTACATTTATTAAGAGGAGATTTCTTCCTTTTCTATTCTTCCTACCTGTTTTCAGACTCAGCCCATTTGGCTGTGTGGGTAGATAAGAATTATTAAGTAACAAAGTGGAGGTGGATGAGCATGAATACAAAAATGGTCTGTCATCAGCATCTTGTGCAATGAAACAGTGTTCCTTGTGAGGATCTCTTAACCTGGAATTTGTAAAATAAGGACTCCCTGGAATAGCATGGTCTGCTAGAAATTTCTGCTCTGACAGAAATGTCATATTTTTTATTGTCCAATACAGTAGTCATTAACTACATTCGACATTTGAAATGTGGCTCGTCTGAATTAGAATATGCTGCCCTGACCAGGTAAATTCAGTTGGTTAGACTGTTGTCCCAATATGCCAAGATTGCAGGTTCAATTCTCAATCAGGGCTCATACAACGAATGCATAAATGGAACAACAAATCAATGCCTTCTTTCTCTTTCCCATCCCTATGCCCCTCTCTCTACTGTGTTTCCCCGAAAATAAGACATCCTCCGAAAATAAGACCTACTTACAGGTTTCCTTCTGAGTGAAATATAAGGCATCCCCCGAAAATAAGCCCCCCCTAGGCTAAACATGAGAGATTTGGTCCACTGATTCTGAAAGAAATGGAGTCACAAGAAATTCACCGGGAAATTCAGGAATTGGATTGTTATGATGATGTTCCAGAAGATGATGACATGATTGTCATTGAATAAATGAGTAAATTCTTGATTCTGTAGGATTCACGGTTTGTCTGGTTTGTGTTGACAACTAGCGTACTACCGTACCGTATACAGGTAATAAATTTCCTTTATTTTCATTTAACAATAAATGTGTACCATATTCTTCATGGAAAAATAAGCCATCCCCTGAAAATAAGACCTAGCGCGTCTGTGGGAGCAAAAATTAATGTAAGACACTGTCTTATTTTCGGGGAAACGGTAAAATCAATCCAAAAAAGATCCCTTTGAATTGGGATGTGCTGTAAGTATAAAATATACACAAGATTTCAAAGACTTAGTATGGAGAAAAAAAAAAAAAAGGATGTAAAATATCTCAATTTTGATTACATGTTGAAATATTTTGTATATACTGGATAAATATATTATTAAAATTAATGTCACTTGTTTTTTTTCCTTCTTAATATGACTATTAGAAACTTGAAAATTACTAATGTAATTCTGATGCTATTTCTATTGACAACACTTTCCTGGAACATGTGAGGATTGGGGGAACAGTGGATAGAGGCAGGAAGCCTGCTCATGAGAACATCTGGAGTGGTAGGGCTGAACCTTGGCTGCACATCAGAACCAATGGGGAGCTTTACAAACGTCTCCACACATAAGCCCTCCTGCCCCAGACCAATTATGTATGAACCTCTGGAGATGTAGGACCCAGGCATCAGTACATCAGCATGATTTAAAATGCTAAAGGTGATTCCATGTGCACCCAAGGTTGAGAACCAGTACCTGTGCCAGAGGGAGATAGCTGCTTGTCCTTTTTGTCTTTTCTTTTTGAGATGCTTATCTTGAAGAGCCATGTGATCAGGAAGCAAAGTGACACGACAGGAAATGAAGCAAGGAGCCAGCAACTAGCAAAGGTGTTGAACAAGTAGCTGAGTCTCTCAAGACTTTTACCCTGGTGGTTGGGAATGACCCAAAGAACTCAACTTTTCTCTGAGATTTCTCGGAATAAGGCTAAGGGGAAAACAGCTACAGCTATTGCCACAATTCCCTTTGTCCCATTTGGTCCAAGTGTCCAGGGTGACCTTGATGAGACCCGACCCTACCATCTTCCCACTGCTATTTCCTCAGTGTTTAGACACAGAATTCCACCATTGTGTGGAATTCAAAGGCAGCCACCTCTTGATGCCTATGTTGTTTGCTTCCAACTGACAGACTAAGTTCTGCTCTTACTCTCTGTATGCTGACTGACATACTGGAAGCACTATCATCTAGGGCAGGCTCTGAGACTCTGAGATGGGGATAATCATGGGGCTTTCTGTCTTTAGATTCCATTGTCTTTTAAGTGAAATTTGGTTTTTTAATTTGCTTAAGCAGTGAGTGCCCTAGCAGCTACAGAGGCTAATCATAAAAATCCTAACTATAGAAACAAACCCGTGCCAAGCATTGTTCTGAGTGTGTTACATGTATTAACTCTATCCTCACAACAACCTTATGAGGCAGGTACTATCCTAATCCACAGTTCAAAGATAAAAGTGAGGCAGAGAGGTTAAATAATTTATTTACCCCAGGTCATAAAGCCAGGAGACATTCTTACCACCAAGCTGTGCTGCCTCCAAGTGCATACACAGCTAGGTCTAATGCCCCAGGGTCAGCATCCCTGTACCTTCTACAGAGATCTTCCTTAGCACAGCGCTTCTCACACAGACATGCATACAAAATCACCAGAAGGTCAGGGTGGGACCTGTGACTCTACATTTCTAACAAGTTCCCAGATAAGGCTACTGCTGCCAGCCTCTGCATCGCACACTGAGTAGCCAGGTCCTAGCGGTTTCTCGGCAGATCCTGTAATTTGACAAGGAGATGGCTGTGCCTAATGACTTTAAGAGCCCTCTCACTGTTCTCCTTTCCTGTCACTTAGCCTTGTGTGGAAACTTTATTTAGTTGGCAGTAGCAATGTATCACTGTATCCTTATACTGAGGGTACCCATTGGGTAGGAACTTGAAAACTGACAATGCTCAATGCTAGGAGCTAAACTCTCCATTCAGCAGCCTTATTTCGAGGCTTCCCTGGGTACCATGAAAGAAGACAGCCGTATCTGCACAGTATGGTTCGAAAGTAGTACCAGGCCACACACACACACACACACACACACACACAGTCAGAGTAACTTGGCCTGGAGCCAAAAAGAACTGGGCTGCAAATATAGTTTGTTTTTTAATGTTTTTATGTTCCATTAAAATAATAGTCAAATGGGCCGAAACCAGTTTGGCTCAATGGATAGAGCGTCGGCTTGGGGACTGAGAGGTCCCGGGTTCGATTCCGGTCAAGGGCATGTACCTTGGTTGCGGGTATATCCCCGGTAGGGAGTGTGCAAGAGGCAGCTGATCGATGACTCTCTCTCATTGATGTTTCTAACTCTCTATCTCTCTCCCTTCCTCTCTGTACAAAATCAATAAAATATATTTAAAAAATAATAATAATAGTCAAATGGAAGTGCAGGATGCAAAATGTGACCCTAGTCAGCAGGCAGTCTATTGGAGAAGGCCGCTGTGTTAGTTAAGACCAGTTCCA